TTACATTAAGGAGATAGTACGACTTCATGGTGTCCCTATATCTATAATCTCGGATAGAGGAGCTCAATTATCAGCTAATTTCTAGAGGTCTCTCCAAAAAGGATTGGGACTCAGGTAAGTCTTAGTACAGCACTTCATCCCCAGACAGACGGACACGCTGAGGGTACTATTCAGACATTTGAGGATATGTTACGGGCCTGTATGATAGACTTCAAGGGTAATTGGGGTGATCATCTGTCGCTTATTAAGGTCGCATATAATAATAGCTATCTTTCCAATATTCAGATAGCTCCATACGAAGCTCTTCACGGACGAAAGTGTAGGTCGCCCATAGGATGGCTCGATGTTGGGGAAAACTAAGTTAGCAGGACCAGAATTGGTACAACAGGCAATCGAGAAGATTAAGCTTATACAGGAAAGGCTATTAGCATCTCAAAGCCGCCAGAAGTCTTATGCGGATAATCGACAACGAGACTTGGAGTTTCAGGTTGACGATTGGGTATTCCTAAAGGTATCACCAATGAAAGGCGTATGAGGTTTGGAAAGAAAAGAAAACTTAGCCCTCGGTACATTGGACCATATAAAGATCATACACAAGGTAGGCCAGGTAACATCTGAGTAAGACTTGCCTTCTGACTTAGAATCTGTACATCCAGTCTTTCATGTGTCTATGCTCCGTAAATGTATCGGAGAACCTTCCAGAGTTGTGCCAGTAGACGATGTTCAGGTCACAGAACAACTATCATATGAGGAAGCTCCCATTGTTATACTAGATAGACAGGTTTGGAGATTGAGGACTAAAGACGTAGCTTCGGTGAAAGTACTTTGGAAAAAATATAATGTGGAAGAAATGACTTGGGGAACCGAATAGGTATCCTCACTTATTTCCTCTTCCAGAGAAGGATCCAACTAAGACATCACAGCCCTAAGGTACGAGTATGGATTCTTGCGTTAATTATTTTCACTAGTCGTGTGAGGCCGTTGTCGTGATTGATGATTATGGCAATCTGTGGCGTTGAATAATTAAGTTCTCTAATGAAGGATTAAATTACTATTACAAAGGCGACTCTACCGAAATTTATATAGATCCTAGAGAATTAAACATTCGAGGACGAATGTTTCTAAGGGGGAAGGATGTTACATCTCGCGTTTTCGTACGTTAAAGTTTCGCCGTAAGTTAATCGACATGGATTCGAGGATGAGATTATTTTTGAGGATATAAGCATTTATGCTACTTATAACAGGCGATAAGTTAAGTGTCGAGAAGGTTAAAGGGTAAACGAATCAAAGAAAATAAGTTTCGTTGAAGATTGTCGATTTGGGATAAATACGGTCCGAGCTATAATACCCGGTATTTATGAATTAGTGCCATACAAGGTACTACATGACCATGACAGTAAGGTGTATAAGGTATGTTAAAAGTGAGTAGTATTTTAAGTAAGTTGAGGTAATTCTTAGTTATGTGGGTAATTGATTAATTATTGGATAATAGGAGATTGCCTAGTTAATTAAGGAATTATTGGGTAATTAAATTAAAGAGTTGGATAAAAATTACCCTCCCCCACGTGGCAGTAAGCCACCCCATGAATTGTGACTCTTAAGACATTACATTATATGGCAAGATTTTTTTTGATAAGGTAAATTGTATTAATCAAATGGAGAGAACTCCTGTATACAGGAAGTATACCAAAAAGTAGAGAATTTACATCAGAACATGATTCTCTACAAAAGACGCCCAATCTTCTATACAAGTAGGGGCTATATGAGTGCACCAAAAAGCAATCAAAGATAAAAGACTATTCTTACGATGTAAAAAAGGAGACTCAATCCCCTCAAAAGCTCTCCTCTTTCTCTCCCCCCAAACTATCCACATGAGAGCTAACGGGGCGAACTTCCACGCCTTTTGCTTTCTTCTTCTACGGAAACCGGCCCAGCTATGTAACATCTCCTTTACAGTGCTTGGCATCACCCATTGAACACCAAAAAGATTTAGGATTGCCCTCCACAAAGCCGAGGACATAGGGCAATGCAACAAAAGATGATCAACTTCTTCCCCTGAGCTTTTACAAATGTAGCACCAACTAACAAGTGTAATTCCTCTCTTTCGAAGATTTTCAGCAGTCAAGATCACTCCCCTCGCCGCTAGCCATGCAAAAAGCACACCTTCGTGGGCGCCTTAGGAATCCAGATCGAGGAGTATGGAAAAGTGACCTCCTCTCTCACCAACATACTCTGGTAAAAGGACTTCACGGTAAACAAACCATCGCCACACAAACCCCATCTCCAAGAATCACAAGATGGCAGGGGCTTGTCTTGCCCATATAGCAATGTCAACAAATCTTGGAGCTCCGCAATCTCCCAATCTTGCATGTTCCTTCTAAATGAGAGGTCCCATACTACCCCTCCCCCTCCATGCTCCTTACGAATCTGTTGGACCATCAATTCCTTTTGGTTTGAAACCCTGAAGACGTGAGGGAAGGAGACCCTCAGAGTATCCTCTCCACACCACCTATGATTCCAAAAGCTGATTCTCCTCCCATCTCCCACCCTGTAAGTGATGTTGCCACTGAATGCTTCCCAATTCTTCATGATGCTCCTCCACATGCCACACCCGAAAGGTGTTGTGATTGCCTTGGTCCTCCAACCCCCTCCCGTGGAATCGTACTTTTCATCTATGACCTCCCTCCATAGGGGATGCTCTTCTACCCCGAATCTCTACCGCCACTTCCCCAATAAAGCTCTATTGAATACCCTAAGATTTTTTACTCCAAGTCCACCCCACTTCTTTTGGGAAGTGACTGTCTGCCAATTCACTAAATGAAACTTTCTAGTTCCATCCGCCACATCCCAAAGAAAATTCCTTTAAAGTCGCTCAAGTTTTTCTGTGATGCTCGCTCACCGGCGCTTGCAACAGGGACAAGTAATAGGTGGGCATACTCGATAAAGTGCTTTTAATAAGCACTTCCTTACCGCCTTTTGACAAATACCGTTTCTGCCAGCCTGCTAATCTTTTTCCAACCCTTTCGATCACTAGATGTGGGATTTGGCATTCTTAAAAATGTGAGTCACATATCCACTCTTAAGAAAGAGTCACATATCCTTTCTTAAGAATATCATACGGATTGTCCCTAATTTCGATCTCGCCGTTACGTGTTTCGTCGCAATTAACGCGTGTTAGAGGGATTGTCAAGAGAATCGACTCAGGTATGTTAAGGCTACCCCTTCTTTCCTTTTGCCATGATCCATACGACACAAACGAAACAAGCAAATGCACAACTTCCATACTATGTTCTTGAATTCCCATATATCTTATTATCACATCTTCTGTTCTCGGGTCTCAAAAAAATACGTAGTTGATAAGTTTATTCGAAAGGTATATTGATCTTATTAACATATTTTTATGCATTTCAATCACTTATACATGTACATTGACCCATGACCAAATAGCGTTATATATATATATGTGTGTGTGTGTGTGTGTGTGTATGGGATATGGGATATGGGAAAAGGTTATGGCGTTATATACGCACCACCACCTGATCAGCTGGTACATGTTGATGATTTTGCCCACAGTGACCAAGATGATATGAAGGGATGCCCTCAGATGCTTGATGATGCTATGTACCCTTATACCCATGCATGACACGACATTTATATGCACGTGCATGACATTATAAATGTTTCAGGATTTACAAAGTGATTTAGACTTACAGGTGAAATTCTTATTCCATGTTTCATCTATGTCTGTTATGTACTGATTTTTATGCCTTACATACTCAGTACATCATTCGTACTGACGCCTTATTTCCGGGGCCTGCGTTTCATGCCCGCAGGTGTAGGTAGACAAGCTGACGGCCCCCCTTCTTAGAATCCTTGATCAACGAGAGTTGGCGTGCTCCACTTGATCCGGAGCTGCTTTTGATTTTGGTATGATATGTTTGTATACATATAGGGGTATGACGGGGCCCAATCCCGTCCTTGTATAGTTGTATATTCTGTTAAAGGTCTGTAGACAGTCATGTATAATTGGGTAGTATGTGGCCTTGTCGGCTTCCAATTTTGAATATGTAGTTGTCTATAGCAGCCTTATCGGCTCGCCCTACATATTTCGCACATATATGTATATATGTATTTTGGACAGGTTTTCCTCATGCATGTTATTCTCGTAGTTCCATTCAATAGAAAATTCTTTCAATTCAACGAAAGAGATTCTCATATTCCGTAGATGCGAGATATAGAAATTTTCCTTTCGTAGTTGTGGAAGCAGTTTTGTTGTTGGAATCCTTTTTTTTAAAGATGTTATTCATGTTTATATCTTAGACGCATGCTTAAGGGTGTTCGACAGGTAGGACTCGGCACCCTTCGCGGCCCGAAGTTTGGATCGTGACAACCATATTCCATGGAAACAGACACATATTCAGCCGCTTAGAGAACTGTCAAATTGTACCCTCATAAATCAATTCTGACATCATTTCCAAGTATAGCATGTTCAATTTCTGTATTATAATAATCTAGCACTGACTACACAAATGACAGCACAGACATAATTCACAGAAAAGGCAATTGTGTGTATCAACCTACCCACTCACCCGCAACAACCCACCCCCACAAATGAAAGGAAGATCAGAACTAAAAACAATCCTGTTTACCAGAGATGCGGTCACTAATTCATGAATTGACATGTCCAGAATCAAATTTAAACATCAGTTAAAAACACAAAAAATGGAAGGACAGAGAGGTGGGGGAACCAAAAACATGAACAGACAATACTTTCCAATATAACCGAGAAGCAGACTAATTGGTCCCCACCCCACTTATAAGGTGGACTGATTGAATCTACAGCAATCCCCACCTCATATTGGCAGAAAGACTCCAATAACCATATGAAATAACTTGACCCCCTAAAGAAGGCAATCTGAATATTCAAAGGGTTGGTTAATGACACAGCAAAAGGTTAGGTAAAAAGAACAATGAGAAGCAGATACACAGAAATCACCTACCTTCCATGGACAGCAAGGGCAGAGACACCAGTCCTCTCAATTCGTCGTGCCAATTCCACTGTATCCTGCGGAGATTTTAATAATCTAATCTTGCACGTTACTGGTATATCCAAGTTCCTCCTCAATGTTGTCAAAATCTGAGTTCAGAAGAAAGGAACATCATGAACAGGACATGCACTTCCATGCTGAATTACAAGGAAATTTTACTACTAGGGTGAAGGAGCAAGAACAAATGCATACATCATGAATGAGCTCTGGTTTGCTCAACAGTGCAGCACCCATGCCTCCACTAATAGAGAATGACTTGGGGCATCCCATGTTTATGTCCACTGCTGCTACATCTTTACACCTGAGAAGGGACAGACAATATTTTAGAGAAATCTAAATTTTAAGCCGCTCCCAAAACTAATAGCCAACAACATGTATATTTTTTGTATATATGTGAATTATACATAATACATATTTTTTTAGAAGAGTACATAATACATATTTTATACACTTTTTGGCTAGCGAATGCAATTAGTTTCGGCTAACCCGCCAATTTTGTATTTTGCCCAATATTTTGATCAGATGCAGTAACTTCCTGTTGAAATTGAGCATAATTGCTGATTTAAACTTTCACGCCTAGGTCAGGACTGAAGACCTCTAGAAAAAGAAAAAAAATCAAGCAAGTGCTTTGAAGTTTCTTCATTATCTTAAGATGTAGATCCTGAACCTTACAAGACTGCAATTCGTGGAATTTTACAATAGCTATTCAGTATAAAAAAAATTCCTAAAGAATAAAATTCTTAACAATGTGGCTTGTTGCAGTTCAACATTAATAAGTTTAGCTCAGACAAACTTGTTACTTTAAATAAACATCAGCTACACCCATCATCAATATAATGTCAGAAACTTCGATTGTATATACTGCTAACAACATGTTAAACTCAAAAACTAGACATCCAATGCAGAAAAAGGATGTGATATCATTGAGAAAATGAAAAGCAAAAGCACTGAGTCCGCTTCAAGGACAGTTCCTCAAGCAAATTAGTAAAAGAAATCCAGCAAGATCATTTATAAAATTGATGTACAGTATAGAGACCAGGAATATGAAATCTACCTATTAGTAAACAAAATCCAAAAATATCATTTTTAACCTTGATGTATAGTACAGAAATCAGGAACATTCAAATTTTACCTCACCCCTCATCTCTCCCTGCCTGGGGCAGGGGATATTTACTTTACCACTAATAGGATCTATTGTTATATAGAAAATGTTTCATGGCACAAGAAGACTTCTGCAGGTACCATTTATAGTCAGAGAGAGAAGGGTACAAACTTATTAGGACCCGCATGCCGGTGGAAAGCAGCTATTAACTAATGGCATCTGTATTTGCTCCTGATGAATGCAATTCATTATTCATTTATTTATTTGGGGGGGGGGGGGGGTGATTTCACAAGAGAAACTGCTTGGCTGGTTCATAATTGCAATTCTATGCAATGTTGCATAACCAATGGATATTCTACATAATGCATCACATTACTTTAAGGAAATATCACCAAAATGCCAGAAGACGTATATTGAAAGTAAAATAAGTGGAAACAAAAGTGTAATTTCATCATAGGCATCCAATCCAATCAGGCTGTCTATAGGACTGTGGATGTGTTTATGACCATGTGAACATTAGATTGTGTGTGCGTGTGGGGGGTGGGTGGTGGAGCAGAAGGAATTAAAGTACAAAGATTATGATAGGGGAAAAAGAAAGAAAGAACTGAATGAAACATACACTATTTCAGCAGCTTTGAGAGCTCTCATGGCATCAGAAGTGCCCATCTGAAATACAACTCGATTTCTTTCCTCGGGGCACGTTCTGAAAACAACATTATCAGTTCCCTTCTCCACTATGTCAGTTGTCCCTAAGACATCTAAGGAATAAGGGGTAAAACTCATGAGAAACATTTTAGATGCACCGAGTTTAGGAATTTTTTATTTTCTTTTTGCCTTCTCAAATTATACAAGGTAACCTGCACTAAATGCGAGGCTTCTTATGTGATATTTTATCTTTTCGTTTCATTTTCCCCTTAAAAAATAAGTGTCCATGAATCCTATTCATCCATGCTCATAATACCCAAAAATATGAAGTAAAGCAGCAAGGCATAAAGCATAGTGCTAAGTTAATTATACCGATCTCAAAAACAGCAATTCATAAAGCCTTCGCAGATAAATGTAACAACAACAAACCAACAATAATACCACAAAGTGGGGTCTGGGAAGGCTGGAGTGTATGCAGACCTTACCCATACCTTACGAAGGTAGAGAGAATATTTCCGATAGACCCCCGGCTCAAAAAAAGACCAGAAACAACAAGTAGTAACAACAGCAAACAAATTTGATAAGGTGATAGATTAATCGAAGCGAAGGAAACAACATATAGTAAAAGAAATCTGCGAATAAAGAGAAATGAAAATACGAGACTAATACTAATGCTACCAGCATGAAAATGAGACATGCCCACCTAACCACTAACCTTCTACCCTAATTCTCAATCTCCATACCCCCTATCAATGGCCATGTCCTCAATAAGCTGAAGTTGCGCCATGCCCTGCCTAATCACCTCTCCCCAATACTTTTTAGGCCTACCTCTATCTCTCCTCAGCCCCACCATGGCCAGCCTCTCTCACCTCCTCGCCGGGACATCCACCTCCTTTTCACATGCTCGTACCTCTCAACCTAGCGTCCTGCATCTTGCCTCCACGGGGGCCACTCCAACCTCGTCCGGAATATCATCATTCCTACTCTCATCTATCCTAGTATATCCACACATCCATCCCAGGATCCCCATTTCGCTACTTTCACCTTCTGGACATGGGTGTTCTTAACAGACCAACATTACTCCCCATACAACATAGTTGGTCTAACCGACACTCTGTAAAACTTACCCTTAAGTCTTGGTGGCAGCTTCTTATCGCACAAAACCCCGGAAGTGAGCCTCCATTTCATCCATCCCGCTCCAATTCGATGTGTGACGTCCTCGTCAATCTCCTCATTACCTTTGATTATAGATCCGAGGTACTTGAAACTCTCTTTCTTAGGGATAACTTGTGAATCCAGCCTCACCCTTCGCAGAAAAATGTCTTTGAATCAATCTTCTCCACTTGGAAAGCTACTGAATCAGTTATCAGATGACATCTATACTATGTCAATGTACAGGGCCTAGATAATAGCTTACAAATCTGTGTTTGGTATTCAAGGGGCAGTGAGCACTCACACTAAAAACATCCAGTGTTTTTGTTCTAAAGTTCTGATATAACTATCATCAGTAAAGGTTCAATCATCTCTCAAATATTCCACTTAAGCTACATATCCAGGTATAACTTCTCATCATCAAATATCTTCAATTAAAAGGCTCAATTAGGGCAATGAGCACTCACACTAAAAACATCCATTTTTTTTTGTTTGAAAGTTCTGATATAACTATCATCAGTAAAGGTTCAATCATCTCTCAAATATTCCACTTAAGCTACGTATCCAGGTACAACTTCTCATCATCAAATATCTTCAATTAAAAAGCTCAATTTCTTGACAGAGAGAGCCATAACATAATGAAGTTCAGAGTCCTCATCCTTCATGCACTAACATATACTCCCTCCATTTCAATTTAGATGATGTAGTTTGACTTGGCAGTTGGCACAAAGTTTAAGAGGAAAAAAAAGAAGCCTTTTGAAACATGTGGTCCCAAAAGCTTAAGGGTAAAAGCTTTGTAGGGTCATTGCCATTTGTATGGCTATAAAAGCTTTTCATTAAGGGTAAACCGGGTAAAATAAAAAGCTTAAAATTAAATTGTTTCCAAATATAGACATATGTAATTCTTTTTGAAACGGACTAATAAGGAATGCATGTCATTTAAATTGAAACGACGGGAGTAACAACTTGATAATCCACTAAATATAGAAGTATTCCAATTGACATATACAGCACATTCAGAGCAAGGTTATACTCATCAAACAAAGGATCTTGCATAAAATCAAGACTGCCAATATCCTTGCTTCATTGGTATTTTTTGAAGTTGTTGATTTCATCCTCTCACATAAGTAGTACAACTCTACATACTACATGATACTTAAGATATATAACAAACTTAAGGTTAAAGGATAGAATGCCGCTAAAAAGGATGAATAAGAAATTACCATTAACTCTCCGCTCACATTTGATGATTTTATGATCAATAATCTCCTCTCCATAGGTTATGTCCGCACCATATTGGGCAGCAAGCAGCCTAAATGGCAATGTACCCTGACCAAAAGTAAATGAAAGCATAAGATCCATAGGCATCTACGAACAACATATGATAAAGAACAGACATACTAAGAGCAGTCTTAACTATGCTTCCTAGTGAAGTTAATAGCTCCTGGAATGCGAGAACTGAGTTTCAGAAAGAGAAATACAGATCTAGCGATGGGAAAATGAATAAGAAAGCAACCACAGAATAAACAAGTAACAGGTACCAAAAAATGAAAAGAAAAAAGAGAAAGAAAGAAGCAAAAGATGCTCCAATTTCACCAATTTCAGTTGAAGATGCTTACCACTCGGACCATTGGAGCCAAGACAAGCTTGTTTCTGTACTCCATCTTTTCTGATAAGGCGGATAAATTAGTACAATCCCTAAGATAATAACAAATGCTGACCAAATTGAGTATCTTGACCAAAAGAGTTGCAGTTTAGGTTAAAGCCGGTATGCTTCTAATTGTACACAATTCCTCTAACGTCGTACACTGATCTACTGGGCAGCCTGCTACAGCTCACATGCAGAGTGCCAGGTTAAAATGAAAGGTGGCTAAATCATAAAGACGATCAAACTAAACCTGGATGCTCTAATTATTCAAAATAAACATGAGCAATAAAGTATTCTCAAACTATGCTTCAGCGAATGCAAATTCATAGACAGCTAGGCTTCAACAGACACAATGTATATACAGTTTTGGATCTTACAGTATATGGACTGTAAGGAACAGAAATTTAATTCAATTTGAAAACTTATTAGCTGTCAATAAAACTCGGATGCTTTCTAATTATTCGAAATATATACATGAAATAACTCAGTCAACCTCAATCCGTCTTTCATCAATTGCAAATATATAGCCTTCAACAAATACACTGTAATAGATAGGCTCGGATCCTACACTATACGGCCAGTAATAAAGAAAGGAAAATACGGGAAAATAAAAATAATACAGCTAAATCTTTATCTCTAAACAAATTGACCAGAACGGGATAAGATTAAAGAGCTGGTCAACAGTTTATACTGATTGCTGACCTTGACTTGAAAAGAGAGGAAGAATTTGCCAAGCCGGCGGCAAACCACCAACGGCGGTATATTGGTGTGGTTGCAATTGCCGACCGGCGGAGGAAGTGTCGGAATGACTAATGCTAGCTTTACGCCTTTCCTACTAACACTCGATGATTAAAATTGTCATTTTGCAGAATTTGGTGGCTAAAAAGAAAGATGAATCAAAACTTGCGAGTCGTTTGGTAGTATGTCTAACCACATTATTGAATATAGTGTGTTAGTAATGCTGTTGTGTGTTTTGTTGATATATTTCTTATCTAGTATATTAAAAATAATATGCATCGCATATTTTTGTTTAAATTATCTATTCACACAAATACCCTCTATAATATTTTAGTTTTATATACTCTATTCCATGTGTAGAAACGAAGTTGCACACATATAATAGAACTAGTATCTATGAACGTGCGTTGCACGTTAATAATGACACATGATGATTTAAACATTTATTTATATGAATGAACAATAAAAATTAATTAAC